CTGAAGTTGCCAAAACAGGGTTACTGTATTTGACAGGTGCACAAAAGAACAATTCAGTGTCCTTGTTAATAATACAAATTTAATTACATGTGTACATGTACATCTGTAAAGGTATATGGAAAAGACAGAAAAACCTTTTGTAATTCTTTCTTTTTTTCAGTTTTGTTTTTCACTCATGTTCTTGTTCTGAATTTGTTTTTATTTGTAATAATTTCCCTACCTCTGAGGTTTTGGTTACCAGGGCTAAGTGTTAACAAAAAATTATTGATTTGTTTTTTACTTCTATTTATTTACTTTATTGTTCCTTCACATCAATAAGATCACCCCTAATCCTAACTCTTACCCCACCCCATGTTTATGCCCCTCTAAATATCTACAGGTGTCATTAAAAGGGGCATATACTATTGAATTGGGGAGTGCTGGAAGGTAGGGTTAGTGTTACAATAAAGATAGTATCATTATTATTAAATACAATTATAATAGGGAAGGGACACTGAAGGGGAAAAGTTAGGGTTAAAGGGGAGCAGAGGTCTGGTTTTTATCACTCTGTACATGATATTTGAGATATATGAATGACAATAAAAACAACTTGTATGTGCTGCGAAATGCCCTCAATATCGGGTATAAAACGGGCTGTGAAGTAGACGACAAACGTACACTTTGCATGGCATTATTTCATCTATAGAGGGCCAGTCAATGACGTCATTCATTCTAGTACGTCAATCCCATAGAAGTGCTACTATGAAAAACCTTGTTTACTGACATTTTTAAATTTGAAAAATGGTGAGGTGTTGTGTGTATGAATACCATAATGATTCATGTTGAGTTTTTTGAAATTCGAACAAAACATGGATGTCACCGTCCCCGTCATTTGATTATAAATTATTCAAGTTAAAAAAATAAATGGAACATCTACAAACAGGTGAATTAATATGTACTCTATGTGGGTACAATTCATGATAAAGTGATTTCCCATAATCTAGTTTTGTACTGATAACTGAAAACTTCCATTGACCCATGTCCAAAATCTCAGAGTACACAAGTGCAACAAAACTATATGTCTCATACATGTATACATGCTCAAGAAACTGCATTCATAAATCTGAGTAAACCTTGATGTACCTTTAATAACAACTTGACTTCTTTCTTAATTCAGGTCTTTGCATATTACCAGGAGCTGGGTTTCAGTATCACCACTATGAAACAGAATCATTCTCACATTCTAAAAATACCAGTTTTTAGTAATTCAGTATGGTTTATTATTCACTGTACATACAGTAACATCTGTTAATAAAACTGTTGTAAATAAAAAGCTGTGTTTTCAGAGCAATTAAGTAATAATTAAGTAAGCCAGTATCGATAAGGGTTGGTCAGCTCAAAATCTTCTAACTATTTAATGCGGCGATATTACTAAATTTCATTCAATGACGATCGTCATTCCAAACAAATTATTTTTCTAGATATTTACAAATATGCTGTACCAAACATTCGCAAAATTAACAAATACACGAAGCGATGTAATGTTATGTTTTAATATATGTTCCGGGTTAGGCTTAGGAATATTTTCTTTCACTCAGTTCATGCATGGAGCTCTTTATTTAATTCCATGACTTTTCCAACAACAATAATTATACCAACAAATTGTACTTGTGTTGATACATTTTTGTGGCAGTACGTAATGTCAGAATAGTGTTTAAAATAAAATATTCCATCACAATCAAATCTAGGTCAAAGGGTCAGATTGTATGATACGTAAATATATTTGAGTTTTTGACGGCTATTCAACATTTGTGGAAACCAGAATAGAATAGGTATATATACATGTATGTGTATACAATAGCGATATGGCCGAGACATCGTGTTCATCGGTGACGTCATCATCTAGCGCCCCCTAGAAGCGAAATGACGCAAAGAGGACGTTTGTCGTCTACTTCACAGCCGTTTTATACCGATATTGAGGGCATTTTGCAGCACATACATAGTTGTTTTTATAGCCAAAATTCATTCATAAATCTCTAGTTCATGTACGGAGTGACAAAAGCCAGACTTCTGTTCCCCTTTTATAATGAATAGCTTCAATGTCGCTAAAGCATGTGTGTGGCATATCTCGTGTCAAGACCCCGGCTCCCACGTATATGTCTCGTGCGTAATCAATTTTCAAAAATTGTGTTGTTTAGATGGTAAAGTAACATACCTGTGTTATAACTGCCCCAGTTGGCCATTTCAATGTTTTGATCAAGTCGCCACGAACAACAACGTACTGGACCATGGAGGCCGCCATCATCCTGAGGATTTGTACGGTCGGAAACTTCGCACGTCACTTGCGAATTATTTAAGTTGGTCGTTTCTCTTCACTATTGGGGAAAATTTCAATTATATAATTTAAATGCGAATGTTTTGCACTGCTATAAACTAGAGTTGTAAAATCTGAAAGGTGCTGAGAAAATGAGAATAAACAACAAACAACCAAACACTTCCGGTAAGAGTATTTGAAAACAACCGCGGCCGTCGAGTGGAGTGTTTGTTGTGCTTTTGGACTACAGCAACAAACTTTGACGTTATCCACGCGATAAAATGGAGCAAGAAACAAGGAAAGGTTAGTCACTCATCTTAAAATTGTGTAACAGGACTGCGTTCTTAGGTTTAGTGTCTGGTAATCTCTGGTAATTTGAAGAGCAAACCCAAAGCTTGTTAAAACGTTTATTCATTTCCTAAAATTAATGTCTAAAAATAAGTCAAGGATTATTTTTTACTTTTTTCTTTTAATTTTTGAACTTCATTTATTACACAACAGCTAACAATGAATTTTTGTTTTTCATCACAGCAAAAAAATATTGTATTGTAAAACAGATACCAAGCATATATTTATACAAGTGGGAAATATTAATCTCCAAACATGTTTATCAATAGACCATTTTTCATTCACTGCGAGATCCTGTGTTATGCGTGAAATCGAACAGGATAAACAAAGGTCATATCATCGTAGTTACATCAAAACTTTGCATTGCATTTGACAAACACATTGTATTTTTTATGTATTTCCTTGCTTAATAATGTGCTATATGTATTTGATGATGGTTAATTTTACTAAAGTAAGTAAGTGTTTCTCAATGTTTTATTCCCCACTTGAAATCAGCATTTTGACATTGACTTTTTGCAGATGTACAATATAAGTCTTCCATGAGTTATGTGAGATCTTGCAATGAACCAAAAATCCCCTTTTCATTACAAATGCTAGTGTTGTCAATCCACATGTGTAGTTGACAATGACAGGATTTCACCTACATTCAAAATTATGGTAAAATTGGTTATATCTGTGACTTGACACACTTTGATGAGAAAACTCTATACCGGTATATGTCAAATGAATATGCTATGAATCGTAATGTGTTGTACCGAGTATGTTTTCAACTGAATATGCTATGAATCGTAATGTGTTGTACTGAGTATGTTTTCTATACACATGCAGGGTTTTCACATCGATTACATCAACTGGACTTGGAGCAAATTGAAATACGTTATGAAGCTGGAAAGAAGTACAGCGAGCAGTATGTCATGGAAAAAAAACTTGCAAAATTAAAACAACGGAGAGATGAATTGAAAAAGCTGCTGCAGATAAAACCTAAACAGGTGCTATTTCATACGTTGTAATGAAATAATTAAATAACAATTTTGAGTCGTTCCTGAAATTGCAAATTTGTCCCTTAGGCATTTCTCATACTGTTACTTTGTATCTAAGGTTCTGCAAGATTTTGCAAAGAAGAAACCTCCAAGGAGTCCTAAGAAAAGTCCAAATGAAACAGTTGCAAAAGTTATGAGATCTGTAACACGAAGGAGACTGCAGGAACAATGTAAAGCATATAGACTAACAGGTACAGTTTCACTCAAAGAGCATTTTTAGAGTTTTATTGAGATCTCTTGAGAATATTATATGACATATCAGTATTTGATAGTCAACATTTGCATGCATTGTGGGAAAAAAGATGGAATTTACCAGGGTTAAATTCTGGGCCCTGTAATAATTCAGAACAGAAGTTAATAATTATGAATCCATTTACATTTTTCAAAGTCATTTTACAGTATACCGTACTCCAATAATTCATCTTTACTTGGAAACTAGCCAATAAATTTGCTAACTGACTGAGCTGTACGTAATGTGAATCTAGCGCATAATTGTTGAGACTTCTGG